GTAATTTTGTTCTTACTTATTATTAAATGCATATATTATCTTTGAAGATATCAACCACCTTAGAATGATATTATAGAATACTAGTGTTTTATTTCTTTGCTGTGTTATTTCATTGGTGTACTAATATTGTACTTTTATGTGCTAAATTTCTTAAAAGGTTTTCTTATAGTAATAAGAAGGTAATTGTAAAATTAAAAGTATTATTACGAGAGTTGAGAGTGATTAAAGAGCGAAATCACTAATTTATATACAAAAGAGGTATTTAAATTTTTTAAGGTAGTAAAACTTTCTTATTTATTTAGAAAGCTCTATCTTCTCTTTTCTTGATTTACTTTGATATGCTTCTTCATTAGACATGGCTTAAAGTAAAGGTGAGGGCTTGAAAATGATTGAAAATTTTAGAAGTGATAATTTCTACCATTGGAAGAAATAAATGGAGCTTTTATTGATTTTATTAGATCTTTAGAACATTATTAATGAAAGTGAAGAGCCTCCAAGTAATAATACTGGCGTCAAGTTGAAGAACAAATATAAACGTTGTGAAAAAAAGATTTTTGGCATGATTGCAACAAATCTTTATGATGTCAATTTTTTACAAATAATTGCTTGCAATAAACTAAAAAAAGTATAGAAGATTCTTTGCAATATCTATGAGAATAGAAACCTTACAAACATTCTATGAAAAAGAAAGAAATTCTTAATGGTAAAGATAGAAGAATAAAATGACATCATGTCTCATGTCAACAAGGTAAAAGCACTTGCAAACCAACTAGCAATTATTGATAATAAGGACATTGTATTGATATTATTCATGAATCTTCTAGAGTCCTATAACTATCTTATTGTAGCAGTGGAGTCTATCAATATAAACGAGCTTACTATGAATTATGTCAACTCAAAATTAATCCATGAAGTGACCATAAAAATAAAAATGAGCTTAAAGTAATTATTTGGCTCTATTTTGAAGAAAAAAAAGTAATTATTTTTATCAATGTGATAATTCAGAAAAATATATTAAAAATTATTGAATTTTTAAAAATTACATCACTTTGCAAAAAATTGCTACAAAAGAAAAAAAAAGAGATAGAGAGAATGCAAAAAATATTAGTAATAGTTATGTTGGAGATGATTATGCTTTCATGGCAAGTAAGGAAGTCTCCATGGCTACCATGTCTAAGTAGATTATAGATTCAGATTCTATTAAGTATATGACACCTTATAAGTATTTATTTGACATCCATGAAACAATTTTAAGAAAAATTATTTAGTTGGAAGACAATGGCATGATGCAAGCTATTAGAATTGGCTCTATTGTGGTAGAGATTGTAATAAAGCACTAAATAAAAAAGATCAGATTGAAGGAAGTCTTACATGAATCAAAGATAAAGAAAAATTTCTTTTCAATGAGCAAACTTGTATCACATGGTTGTAAGGTTTGATTAGTCATGAATGGATATTTTGTAAAGACATTGAATAGACAACATATTGCGAAAGGCCTAAGAGATGGCAACCTCTACTTCATCAATTGTAAGAAGGTAAATGGAATTGAAGTCACGGCATTTACTGAGTTTCTACAAAATGAAGATAAGTTTGAAATTTGGCATTAATAATTTGGTCATTTGAATGCTAAAAGCATGAAAGAATTCCAATATATGATAAGTGGCTTAGATCTTAATCAATTTATCTAAAACTCCATAACATTTGCTTATGAAGGTTGTATCTAAGGCAAACAACAAAAGACTTCATTTTTAAGAAGATTTGCAATGTGTGTTAGCAAATTATTGGAAACAATATATTCTAATGTTTATAGATGAATGAAGATTCTATCAATTACAAGAACAAGGTACTTTGTCACATTTATTAATGATTTTTTAAGAAAGATATGAATTTACATTTTAAAGCCAAGAAGGAGAATTTTTCAAGTTTTATGGAATTTAAGGCACTTGTAAAGAAGTAATGTGAGTGAAATATTAAATTATTGCTGACAAATAATGGAAGTGAGTATATGTCAAAGATTTTTAATGATTTTTCTTGAAAATTCAAGGTATTGAAGAACAAATCTCAATTCTTTACACTCTACAATAAAAAGAAGTTGGTGAAAGAACAAATCATACCATTGTGGAGATGGCAAGGAATATGCTTCATGCACAAAATTTTGGGCATGAATATTGAATAGAAGCCATGGTTACAGTAGTATAAATAAAGAATAGATATCTTACAAGTGCATCCACATCAATGATTCAACAAAAAGCTTGGAGTGGCAAGAAATCGTATATTTTATACATGAAGATTTTTGGATGCATTATTTATGTAAAGATACCAGATTTTATGAGGTCCAAATTTAATACAAAAGATACAAAATATGTATTTGTTGGATATTGTGAAAGTACCAAGGCATATAAGCTTATGTATTTAGAAACCAAAAAAATCATTAAGAGTGGTGATATAGAATTTTTGGAATATAAGAATACTTGTGAGTACTTAGACATGTGTTCAAGTAGAAATAATGGTCTATTTATAGATACATCTAAAATTCCAATAAAAAAAGAAGAAGAAGAAGAAGATAATAACAACAAAGTTGGTAGACGTGTGAATAAACATGAAAAGTCAAAGAAGGTAAATCAAAATATGTCTAAAATTGCTATAATCAAGAATGAAGACAATCAAGATATTGAAGATAATGATGATGAGGAGTATCAACTACTAACTATGAAGGAATAAGTTTTAAGAAAGAAAAAGGTTGCAAGTGCATAAAATCTTTAAGTGCAAAAAGGTGAATCTTCATCAAGTGAAAGAGATATCTTTTGAGAGATAGAAAAAAACTTGATGAATGGTGGAAGAACCATATTTTTTCTCAAGTAAGTGAAGAACATGTTAACATTGTATTTTTTGTTGATGTATTAAGTTTGTATGGATGCTATGAAATTAGAGAATACCATAGAAGAAGAGTAAAAATTACTAATAGATAATAGAAGATGGAAGACGATTCAACTTCCATCAAATTGATCTTCAATTAATTATAAGTAGGTGTTTAAAATCAAGAAGGATACAATAGATAATATTGTAAGATACAAGGTTAGATTGGTTGTCAAATGCTACTCATAAGTTATTAGTATTGATTTTAATTAGAGATATATTCTCATAGCCAATTTTAATACCATTAGAATCATTATGGAAATTGGGGCACCAATAGACTAGGAGATGCATCAAATGGATATGAAAACATCTTTCTTAAATAAAAAGTTAGAAGAAGACATCTATATGAATCAATTTCAAGGATTTGTTGAAGAAGATAAATAACGTCTTGTTTGTAAGTTGAAAAATCTTTGTATGGATTCAAGCAATCACTAAAGGCATCATACCAATATATTGATACATTCTTTGTGAATGAAGGATTTAAAAGAAATAAGGCTAATCATTCCATATATGTGATGCAATCAAATGAGTTTATGTTGATTGTCATCTTTTATATTGATTATTTGATCATCTTAACCAATATCTTAAGGATGATGGATTGATTTAAGGCAAAGTTAAAAAGAAATGTGAAATGAGTGATTTGGAAGAACTTCATTATTATTTAATAGTGGAGTTTGTGAGAGATTGTACTAAAAAAACTATTACAATAAGCCAAAGTAAGTACATTGAAGAGGTGTTGAAACGATTCAACATGAAAGAGTGTAAGCCTATAGGTACATCTTTGGAAGCTAATTTAAAGTTGATGAAACTCATGGTATAATGCTGGAAAGTAGCATAATAAATAAAAATAATATGAAATATTATGAAAGTTTGAATTTTAATTTAAAATAAAATAGAATAAAAATAAAATAAAAATAAATATAATAAAATATTTATCTAATTTATTTAAGTTTATAATTTAAGTTTTGTAATTAAAAATAGAAGTTGTAGAATTTATTAATACAAAGTTTAGAAGGGCTTTGGAGTCAAAAGTATAATATTTTGACTACTAAACCATCCCATATAGATGGATAAGAGGAGTGATAAAGGACTTCATTTCTATTGGTTAAAAACCATGTCTAATTGGCTTCAAGTTGTTATTTGGGACCATATTAGAATTTGATACCACTTTAGGATGATCCACTTGAAGCAAGGTGATGCATTTGAAGTTTGGAGGTTGGATTCAAAAAGTGTGTATTTTGGTTTATAATTTGGATGAAAGAAATGTGTGATTTGGAGTTGTAATGAGAGTTATGGTTTTTTGAAGTTAGGATGTGATTTTGGTACCTATTGTTATTCTTTTAAGCATATAGAGAGTTGTAGGAAGGCTTTGAAAAATAGGAAAGTGATGTTCAAAAGCAAACTTAAAGAGCTACATTTTATGTAAGAAAATTGATACATTCCAATCTAAAACAAAGGAAAAAGAGTTGTTGGAAGTTAGTGTTTAATACTAGGATTTGTAAGTGAATTGTTTTTAATGGAGGTTTTGATTTTTGCCATATCTTGAGTAGCCCTGTGTATATATTATATATTATATATTATTATTTTTCCAATATCTCGAGTTTAGGTAAATTAGTACATTTGCCTTCAAATACCCACACATTCGAGGTATCCATGGAGAATGGGCAACACTGGAAGTCGGATAACTCCGCAATCGAACTGATTCCTGGATGATGCCGGGAATATGAAATCAAATCCCAGCATCCGAGAATAGCCACACGATGTGATGGAGAATTTGCAGACAAAATGCAGACGCTCCTGTGGGCGGTGCTCTCGAAATCTTACCCACGTCTTTGGATGGTTCATTCTACGATGTTGCTGCCTTCCTTCCTTCTGTTCCTTGCTCTACATGAACGAAATCGACATTGTGACTCGTGGATTGCCTCCGCCTGCCGCTGTAAGGAACCCCGCATCACGCAGCGACATTAGTAGGTGGCAAATAGAAGAATAATTTGGGCCAACTTTTAACATCTTGCCACATTTTCGCAACAGAGAAAACCTCGAGACTAAAAAAAATAAAAATAAAACAGAACACGACAGCATGTGGTGGACCATGATTAGCAGTATATTTCACTATGTCCTAGAAACCTGTCATTTAAGAGAACTCAACCTCATTCTTTATTTAATTGCTAGTTTGATTTTCTTTTGCTTTTCGTTCCTTATCGTGGGAAATGTAGGTTATGTGGTGACGTTCGACTGAACATGAAATGTGAAACGTCGAAGAATTAAGTGATAGAGTATAATTTGCGAACAAAATGCTCGCGATGTCTTGATTGATTGACCATTTCAGCGGCGCTCGAAAGTATGCGACGACAGAATCTCGTGACCCAGCTTGGGCTTCAGTTTTGGGGGATGGGGCTATTGATGTTCGGTCTCGTCGTGGTTGATACATTTGCGTGAGCTTCTGTCGCAGAATTTCAAGCATCTCCTGCTCGGCGATCGAACCTCGTTAAGCTTCCAGAGGGATCAGTCGGTGTCATTAAGGGAGTGGCGTATGCTTGGACCGGCTGTGAAGATTTCGATTTCAGGGTTTGACGGTTTAGAATATGAAGAATGTGGGGTTTGATTTGTGGGTGGAATTCTTCTGAGAGCGTTGGACGCTAGGTTTTTGATTGCATTGCTAATTTGTTTTTTGTTTTGTTTGTTTGTTTGTTTGTTTTTATTTTTATTTTTTTGGCGGAATTTTGTTTTTGACTTTGTCATTATTCCTTTGTGCAAATTAGATGGAACTAGATCAGATGCCACCCGATTTCCAATTACACACGAGGTTAGCCTCATGCCTTGTAGAAATTAATAATGACCGGAAGCTGAAACTGAGTTTAGACGAGTGGGAGAACAACTTTAAGAAGGCACTCTATAGGGTGGAGGTGAAGCGCGAGCGGAGCCTGAACGTGAAGAACGAGGTCTACCAGTTGATAGGATTCTACAGTGTTTTCCAAGGAGTGGTGCTGGGCGCCGTGGCGCAAGCTAGCACTCTCACCTGTAACACTGCTTGGGGTCCTGCTTTGTTGTCTGGTCTCGCCTCCATCGCTACCGTCGGCAGCGTTCACAACAAATTCAAAGACTACATCAACACGAAGCAAGAGCTCAAGAACGAAGAAGTCGATGCAAATGTAAGCACAGCTCTTACGAATTCCCTTCGAGTCTAGGTTCTGTGAGATGTTCAGGTCAATGATGCGTTGCGATGGCAGATTGTCAGGGGGAGGATTGGTTTGCTGAAGCTGATGGGAGGGAATTTCAATTTTGCGGCGCTTGACGAACGGACCGTCGTTAACAGGGACCGACCCCAGGCTTCAGGCCAGTACTACTGGCCTGTGATGTTCGTGGTCGTCCTCTTCTCCATTGTTGTTGTCATTGTCGTCATTGCCATTCTGTGCTCTGGCAGTACCTCCCACGATCACACAGAGCCTCAGAATCTGTGGCCTCAAGGATTCACGTGAATTGCACACCACTTAGTTGCCTTCACTGCGCTTCAGTAGACATGCACCTTCCTGCACCTGATGGAGAATTTTTTATTGTTTTGGATTGATTCGAAACTCTCTTCAAAGCAGGTTCACGAGATTCACAATTCCACAAGCTTGGATTCTGGAAGGATGAGCTGCTCCCGATCTCTCAATCACTTTTAGGTCTGTCTGCCAACTCATAGCTCCGAAGTAGGGCTTCCTACACACAACCCACTTCCAATTCAAGGCTCACTTTGATGTTGTGTCCAGACAACCCTAAAATTTAAGGTAGTTTTTTTTCTTTTGTATTTTTATTTATTTCATAATTTATTCTTGCTTGTGTTGAATGTATATGTGATCCGTTGGGTGCCCAAGGGATATCAGTGTGTCCAAAGGATATCAGTGTGTGAGTGTGAAGACTTTTACCTGCTCTTCATAACAACATATTCAAGCAACATTCTCAAGTAATGGTTTTTAGTAATTCAAATTTTAAAAGCATGGGTATTGAAATGAGCAATAAATGAACCCATGTCGTTGTCATGAAAAACCCATGTAGTTGCCATGAAAAGTGTGACTCAAATGAAACATTTTTTGAAAGATATCTTTGAGAGCCAAAACAAAAATTTAATATATTTTTAGAAAAAAAAAAGCAATAGAATATACAATGGAACTTTTAGCTACAAAGTGAGATAGCTAAACTCATGTCATTTTCATAGATAATAGGCAAAAAATGAGTTAATTTTGTTCAATGAATTATTTGTGAAAATATTAAAAAATATATTAAATTACATTTAAAAAGCACAAAATTGTATTAAGACATTCAAGGATGTATTTAAGTCAAATTTTGGAACTTTAGATAAAAAAATTAAAAACCAAAATATAAAAATTAAAATTTTAATATCTATCTAATTAAAATATTCAATACAAAATTTAAATTATTGTTTCTGGGAAGAAGAGTCTTAATAAAATGGAAAGAAGTACATCAAGAGAATACTATATAAAATTGACTATAGAAAAAATAAGTTCTTATAGATCCGAACCAATGTGCTTCATTGATTATCCTTAGGATTTGTTTATAATTATTATAAATGCAAGAAGTATTGGAAATTGCTTTCTCTTTAGAATCAATGGAAGTTCTTTTGTTGTGGAAGTTAATGAAATCAGTGGAATAAACACTAGATTTCTTGCAAATTGCCCTCAGAGAATTCTTGCTTCAAGAACTCCATCTATTAGTTATATAATTATCAACCAAGTTCTATTGCAAAGTCTTTGGCAAGGAGCAATATTTCTTAGTAGCATCACAAGAGTCCCAATCTTAAGAAAAAACCTTGATTTAGCCATTCTAGATAGATTAAGCGACTTGATGAATTTGACTAGATAAATATTATTGTTGTTAATACTATCTTCAACAATAACTTCATTGGCACTTGGATATTTTTATTCTTTTCTAAGACATACTGCCAAAATCTTTTCATTAATATCCTCCACATCATCATTTCATGTGGATAAAATGATTCTATCTCTTAAGAAGGCATTATTTGCTACATTGTCTTCTACTAGCGATGGATGAATAACATCAACTAAAGACATTAATTGTCAGTTGATAATCATGTGATCAAGAAGCATAAGAATATTATCGAGCAATATGTTTCTATTGTTTTTAAGCTTGCAAGTAGCAAATAGAAATATTAATCAATAATAATGTAATTATAAAAAATTTAAATACACTATTATTAATATATATAACATGTATGTGCATTCTATACTTGAAAAAACCAATTAGAAAACTTGATATATATTAAAAGTACTCTTAAATTCAACCTCATGTTTTTTTTTAATGTATGGATTTTTATTTGAAACCAAAGTGTTGAAATATCAAAAAGATGTTGCTACAATTTCTTCTCAAGTTCCTTTTTTAATCATTGACAATATTTGGCAAAAACCTCTACCAAAGATTATTGTAACTCCTCCAAATAGGCAATCAATATTTTGAATATTTCTAAAGGAATAATCAACTATCTTGGGATAATAATAATATTGTATCGAAAGTTCATTCCAAATAATAAGTGAAGTTTGGAAAATAAACTCAATATGGTTGGAATTCTTAATAATTGAACAAATAGTATCTTCATTACAATCTATAGAAACTTAAACATAGAATGGACGATTCTACTTCCTTCAAGTAGCAATGCAATAATTATTGATAATACAATATATATAATAATTTATTGAATCAATCAAATTTTAGTCACCTAAGTACTATAAATAAATATCTTACTGTTAAAGACAAGAACTCAATGAAAGAAAATAAATAAGTGAGACTTTTTTAAAGCAGTATGAAATAATAGAAATAAAGAAGTATATATATTAAAAAGAAACTAAAATTCAATCGCCAAAAGATGAGAAAATTAAAAACTCTTAAAACTAGACTAAAAGCAAGAATGGAATTGATAAGAGTGAAGAAGGCTTCACTCTTGCTTCTATATATACTATCTACCTAGGAGCTATGAGGCAACATTCTATAAGACCTCAAAAACATGTTGATTTTACATGATACATATCTTAACTTATAAGATAAGTTTTTTATATGGATTCCACATAGATATCTTGTTCTGTAAGCTACTAATATGTGTGGCATGTGGTTAATTTGTTGACCAAGTTTCTAACCTACCAATCAACTATAAACACATGTAAAATCAAAGCAGTGTCTATGTATTAAGGACAAGAACTCGATGAAAAAACAATTCAAACAAGTGAGCATTCACTCAAAGAGAGGTAACAAAATATATATAAACAAGTATATATATTGAAAGAGAAACTGGAATGGCTATTGCCAAAAGACAAGAAAACTAAAGACCCTTGAAACAGACCAGAAGCAAGAAAGGAGTTGACAAGAGTGAAGAAGCCTTCACTCTTGTCTCTATATATACTATCTAACTAAGAGCTACGTGGCGACATTCTATAGGACCTCCAATATGTGTTGACTTTGTAGGGCACATGCCTTGACTTACAAGACAAGTTTTTCTACGTGTGGGCCACATAGTTAGCTTGATCTTTAAGCTAACAACATGTGTGGCACATGGCCAACTTGTTGACCACGTTTCTAATCCAAAAAGTCAATTAAAGACACCTATGAAGTCAAAGCAGCATCTAGGAAGTTTCTAGGAAGCTTCCATATTAAATATTATAGAATTAACTTACTTTTACCTACTTTTATTTACTTCTACCTATTTCTATATGTAATTATTAGCTTACATGATTATGGCCGTGACATTACTCCCCCTTCTAGGGACGAGTTCCACGAGGAGCGGTCATCATATGTTGAGAAAATCTATGATGCGACAAATTGTATTCGCCACATACTCTGATCTCTGTTCTCTTCGAAGATGATTGATAGGGCCTCTCAACCATCGGTAGTGTCCCATACCAGGGCGGGAAGACCACCCACTTATTTGATCATTGTTGAGGCCTTCGTAACTTCCTTCGAATAGAATATTTGAAACACCATCAAGAGTTGTTCCTACCTCTAGCAAAATCACCAAACATCGGGAGTCCCTTCCCAAATCGTGATACCAAACGCGTTGTATCTCACCATCTATTCGAGGAAGAACATGTCGTTCTTGAATATCTTCATCTCGATTGCGTCGTCTTGAAGGTTGTGACAATCGTAATGTCTCATCCGACAGGTTAGCAAATGAAGGCTCTTGAGTTAAATCCGTTGGTTGTTGGTTTTCCATCTCTTGAGCGCCACTACTACAACGAAGCTACGAACAAGAATTGAAAGTAGAATGTTATCTTGCCTAGATGTTGTTTCTTTTATAAAGAAGGTTTTCATCTTGATTTTGATGGATGTCGTCGATGAAAAGCCTCCACCGCCTTTGCTGCATTTGCAAGATTCTTCATTGGCTCCCATGTGCGTTCACTAATATCATATCCGCGACAATGGACAAGATATTCTATTTTATTTTGACGCCGCCTTGAATCTAAGACTTCTTCTACTTCAAACTCTTCATTATTGTCCACTTCTATAGGAGGAGGTAGAGCTTATCGTCTTCTTGGTATGTCCACTGTCTTGTATGGTTCAAGAAGAGACACGTGGAATACTGGATGGATTTTTATTGTCTTCGGTAGATGTAAACGATATGCAACTGGATTGATTTGTGTAGAAATAGAAAATGGTCTCAGCCTTCGATAGTCCAACTTGTCGCAAGGACGAGTGGTCTTGATATTACGACGAAGTAGCCATACCTTATCACCCACGTTGAGTTGTGGTTGTTCCTTACGATATACATCTGCGTTTATCTTTTGTTGTTCTTGAGCTTCCTTCAATTGCGCCTTCATTATTACATATAACTCTGACAACCGATTTGCCATATCTTCTGCTGCAAGATTATCAACTTTTGAAAAATCAAAAGCATCAAGTCGTGGATGATAGCCATAATTAGCAAAGAAAGGTGTTTGTTGCGTGGAGGAATGTACCATATTATTATAAGCAAACTCTGCCAATGACAGAAGGGTTGTCCAATCATCTTGTTGGTAGTTGATGGTACACCTTAAATACTGCTCTAAGACTTGGTTTACGCACTCTGTTTGTCCATCAGTTTGAGGATGGAAAGCCGAAGATAGCTTTATGTCCACTTTTAAAATCTTGAAAAGGGTCCTCCAAAATCTCGACACAAATTGAGTTCCCCTATTCGATATGATATCTTTAGGTAATCCATGATAGCGATAGATATTATCAATGAAAAGCTTAGCTGTTTCTTCACCTATGATAGATTTTGTACATGGCACAAAATGTGCCATCTTGGTGAAACGATCTACTATCACAAATATAGAATCATAAGATCTTGAGCTTGGAAGCTCTGTGATGAAATCCATAGAAACAGAAGACCATGGTTGTTCTGGTATAGGTAATGGCTGAAGAAGTCGATAAGGTCGATGACGAGGAGTTTTTGATCTTGAACAAATATTACATGATTGTACAAAGTCTTTGACTGACTTCCACATTTGTGGCCACCAAAAATCTCTTGATATGAGTTCCAAAGTCTTATTATATCCAAAGTGTCCTACTGTTGGAAAATCATGACGTGCTTGAAGAACACGTAAACGTGCTTCTCCTTCTGGAACATATAGGCGTCCTTCAAAATATAATAGATTATTCTTGAACTCGAACTTAAAAGAAGCATGAGACTTAAAAGAATTATTCTCAATATCATGAACAAGAGGGTCTAAGGACATACTAGACTAGATTTGCTTAAAAAAAGTTGAATCAACAATCAATGTTGATTTCATTGCTCAGAGATGAAATTGCTCCAGTTTCAAGAGGACCGTTCTTTGTTGCTCAAAAGCTG